CTCTCTCTCCTCCTCAGCTCGGACTGGTCTGTGGAGTTCCTTCTCTCTCGTTGGGGGATGACCTGTGACCCGGTGTCCCTCGGGTCGTTCGGGGCCGACGGACCTGAACTCGCCGGGTCCCGTCTCCCCGGAAACCACAGCGTCCAGATGATGGTCATCGCCCCTGACGACGGGAGGCGGTCTCCACGGCAACAGCCCCCCGACGACGGGACGCGGTCTCCACGGCAACAGCCCCCCGACGACGGGACGCGGTCTCCACGGCAACAGCCCCCCGACGACCGATGAGACGGACACGGACTCGAGCTGCTCCTCCACCGACACGAACACCGTCCAGACTTTTAAAACCCGACGTGGTTCTGATGAGAAAAGTTTTTCAAAATAAGAAAACAAAAAACAAAAAAACCCAAAACCAAAATGGAAAAAAAAACAGATAAAGATTTTTTTTTTTTCAGTTTTCAGTTTTTCACATTTCACATAAACTATTCCCTGTTTAAACCAGAACTAAACCTTAAACAGAATTAAACCAGGACTAAACCAGGACTAAACCGGTCTCAGTCCTGATCACCCGACAGTCTATGTGGGTGCACCTCAAGGCCTGTCCCAACAGTCCTGTTTTAGTCCTGGTTCAGTTCTGGTTCAGTGCTGGTTTAGTCCTGGTTTAGTCCTGGTTCCGTCCTGGTTTAGTCCTGGTTTAGACCTGGTTTTAGACTGGTTTAGACCTGGTTTCGTTTTTAGTCTGGTTTGTCCTGGTTTAGACCTGGTTTAGTCCTGGTTTAGTCCCTGGTAGACTGGTTTAGTCCCTGGTTTACCTGGTTAGACTGGTTTTAGACCTGGTTTTAGACCTGGTTTTAGTCCTGTTTAGTCCTGGTTTAGACCTGGTTTATCCTGGTTTTAGAGGGTTTTAGTCCTGGTTTACCTGGTTTAGTCCTGGTTTAGACCTGGTTTAGTCCTGGTTTAGTCCTGGTTTAGTCCTGGTTTAGTTTGGTTTAGATCCTGGTTTAGCCTGGTTTTTAGACCTGGTTTAGTGGGTTTAGACCTGGTTTCCTGGTTTAGTCCTGGGTTTAGTCCTGGTTTAATCCTGGTTTTTAGACCTGGTTTAGACTGGTTTAGACCTGGTTTAGACTGGTTCCGTCCTGGTTTAGTCCTGGTTTAGACCTGGTTTAGTCCTGGTTTAGACCTGGTTTTTAGACCTGGTTTTAGTCCTGGTTTTAGTCCTGGTTTAGTCCTGGTTTAGACCTGGTTTAGTCCTGGTTTAGTCCTGGTTTAGACCTGGTTTTAGTCCTGGTTTTCCTGGTTTAGTCCTGGTTTAGACCTGGTTTTAGTCCTGGTTAGTCCTGGTTTAGTCCTGGTTTAGACCTGGTTTAGTCCTGGTTTAGTCCACCTGGTTTAGTCCTGGTTTAGACCTGGTTCCTGGTTTAGTCCTGGTTTAGTCCTGGTTTAGTCCTGGTTTAGACCTGGTTTAGTCCTGGTTCCTGGTTTAGTCCTGGTTTAGTCCTGGTTTAGTCCTGGTTTAGTCCTGGTTTAGTCCTGGTTTAGTCCTGGTTTAGTCCTGGTTGTCCTGGTTTAGACCTGGTTTGGTCCTGGTTCAGTCCTGGTTTAGTCCTGGTTTAGTCCTGGTTTTTTCTGGTTTTAGTCCTGGTTTAGTCTGGTTTAGTCCGGTTTAGTCCTGGTTTAGTCCTGGTGGTTTTTAGACCTGTTTAGTCCTGGTTTAGTCCTGGTTTTAGACCTGGTTTAGTCTGGTTTAGTCCTGGTTTAGTCCTGGTTTAGTCCTGGTTTAGTCCTGTGGTTTAGTCCTGGTTAGTCCTGGTTTAGTCCTGGTTTAGTCCTGGTTTAGTCCTTTAGTCCTGGTCCTGGTTTAGTCCTGGTTTAGTCCTGGTTTTAGTCCTGGTTTTAGTCCTGGTTTAGTCCTGGTTTAGTCTGGTTTAGTCCTGGTTTAGTCTGGTTTAGTCCTGGTTTAGTCCTGGTTTTAGTCCTGGTTTAGTCCTGGTTTTCCTGGTTTAGTCCTGGTTTAGGTCCTGGTTTAGTCCCTGGTTTTTCTGTCCTGGTTTTTAGTCCTGGTTTAGTCCTGTTCTCCCTGGTTTGTCCTGGTTCAGTCCTGGTTTAGTCCTGGTTTAGTCCTGGTTTTAGTCCTGGTTTTCTGTTAGTCCTGGTTTAGTCCTGGTTAGTCTGGTTTAGTCCTGGTTTAGTCCTGGTTTAGTCCTGGTTTAGTCCTGGTTTAGTCCTGGTTTAGTCCTGGTTCAGTCCTGGTTCAGGTTAGTCCTGGTTTATCCTGGTTTAGTCCTGGTTTAGAGTCCTGGTTTAGTCCTGGTTTAGTCCTGGTTTAGTCCTGGTTTAGATCCTGGTTTAGTCCTGGTTTAGTTCCTGGTTTAGTCTGGTTTAGATCTGGTTCCTAGTCCTGGTTTAGTCCTGGTTTAGTCCTGGTTTTAGTCCCTGGTTTAGTCCTGGTTTAGTCCTGGTTCAGTCCTGGTTTAGTCCTGGTTCCTGGTTTAGTCCTGGTTTAGTCCTGGTTCAGTCCTGGTTTAGTCCTGGTTTAGTCCTGGTTTAGTCCTGGTTTAGTCCTGGTTTAGTCTGGTTTAGTCCTGGTTTAGTCTGTCCTGGTTTAGTCCTGGTTCAGTCCTGGTTTAGTCCTGGTTTAGTCCTGGTTTAGTCCTGGTTTAGTCCTGGTTTAGTCCTGGTTTAGTCCTGGTTTAGTCCTGGTTTAGTCCTGGTTTAGTCCTGGTTCAGTCCTGGTTTAGTCCTGGTTTAGTCCTGGTTTCAGTCCTGGTTTAGTCCCTGGTTTCCTGGTTCAGTCCTGGTTAGTCCTGGTTTAGTCCTGGTTCCTGGTTTGTTGGTTTTAGTCCTGGTTTAGTCCTGGTTTAGTCAGTCCTGGTTTAGTCCTGGTTTAGTCCTGGTTTAGTCTGGTTTAGCTGGTTTAGTCCTGGTTTAGTCCTGGTTTAGTCTGGTTTAGTCTGGTTTAGTCCTGGTTTAGTCCTGGTTCAGTCTGGTTCAGTCCTCCTGGTTTAGTCCTGGTTTAGTCCTGGTTTAGTCCTGGTTTAGTCCTGGTTTTAGTCCTGGTCCTGGTTCAGTCCTGGTTTTCCTGGTTTAGTCCTGGTTTCTGGTTTAGTCCTGGTTCAGTCCTGGTTTAGTCCTGGTTTAGTCCTGTGTTCCTGGTTAGTCCTGGTTTAGTCCTGGTTTAGTCCTGGTTTACCTGGTTTAGTCCTGGTTCAGTCCTGGTTCAGTCTGGTTTAGGTTTAGTCCTGGTTTATGGTCCTGGTTTAGTCCTGGTTTAGTCCTGGTTCAGTCCTGGTTTAGTCCTGGTTTAGTCCTGGTTTAGTCCTGGTTTAGTCCTGGTTAGTTCCTGGTTTAGTCCTGTTTCTGGTTTAGTCCTGGTTTAGTCCTGGTTCCTGGTTTAGTCCTGGTTAGTCCTGGTTTAGTCCTGTCCTGGTTCAGTCCTGGTTTAGATCCTGGTTTAGTCCTGGTTTAGTCCTGGTTTAGTCCTGGTTCAGTCCTGGTTTAGTCCTGGTTCAGTCCTGGTTTAGTCCTGGTTTGTTTAGTTTAGTCCTGGTTTAGTCCTGGTTCAGTAGTCCTGGTTTAGTCCTGGTTCAGTCCTGGTTTCAGTCCTGGTTCAGTCCTGGTTTAGTCCTGGTTTAGTCCTGGTTTAGTCCTGGTTTAGTCCTGGTTCCTAGTCCTGGTTAGTCCTGGTTCCAGTCCTTAGTCCTGGTTTAGTCCTGGTTTAGTCCTGGTTTAGTCCTGGTTTCAGTCCTGGTTTAGTCCTGGTTTAGTCCTGGTTTAGTCCTGGTTCAGTCCTGGTTTAGTCCTGGTTCAGTCCTGGTTTAGTCCTGGTTTAGTCCTGGTTTAGTCTGGTTTAGTCTGGTTTAGTCCTGGTTCAGTCCTGGTTTAGTCCTGGTTCAGTCCTGGTTTCCTGGTTCAGTCCTGGTTTTCAGTAGTCCTGGTTTAGTCCTGGTTTTAGTCCCTGGTTCAGTCCTGGTTGGTTTAGTCCTGGTTCAGTCTGGTTTAGTCCTGGTTTAGTCCTGGTTTAAGTCCTGGTTCCTGGTTTCAGTCCTGGTTCAGTCCTGGTTTAGATCTGGTTCAGTCCTGGTTCAGTCCTGGTTTAGTCCTGGTTTAGTCCTGGTTTAGTCCTGGTTTAGTCCTGGTTTAGTCCTGGTTTAGTTTCCAGCAGTGAGTGGAATTACTGGAAAAAAAATTTAAAAAAGGGGATTTAGCCCCAAATGTGAAAACAGTCAAATCCCTCTGTTTAATCCATTTAATTCAACAAAGTAACTGTAATCCAATTCCCACTCACTGATACAGTAACTGTAACTGAATACAGTTCCTCCTCATTTGTACTCTGATTACTCTGATTACTCTGATTACTCTGATTACTCTGATTACTCTGATTACTCTGGTACAGTGGAAGGACACGACGAGCCTGAAGCAACAACAAACTCACATTTAACATCACAACAAACAAACTCTTACTTCAACATAAAGATTCAATCTGAATCGTCATTTTTATTTGGAATTAACTGTTTACATGGCCTGTTTTTTTTACTTTTAATTTATTCAGTTTTCAAGTTTTGAAAAACAAACAAATAAATAGAAAAATCAAAAGAAAAACCCGGAGCAGCGACGTCGACGCTGCTTTGTTCTGTTACTTTACTTGTATTTGTTGTTTCTTACCTTTGTTGGTGCTTTTCTGTTACTCGACCAAACTTTAACAGAGACTCTTGTTTGCACTTGGAAATACTTCACATAGTTTAATTCAAAATGTCTGAAAAACACAAAATAAACTCATTGTGTTGGATTATGAAGAGTAAAGGTGGATTAAAGACGTTTTCTTCTTCCTGCTCCTTTTTGGGCAAAATAACAATAATAACAGTTATTAGTTGTTGTTATTTTCATTTCTGTTGTGATTTCACTTGTGTCATTTGTTCTATCGTCTATAAATGTAAATCTTTACTTGCCCAAAATAAATGCATTAAAAAAAAAGTCTCTTTGTTTATATTTCAACCATTTTGTCCAGTGTTTCATGAAGAAATGTCGTTTGAGACGTAGAAAAAAAGTCAGTCTTTCCATGGAGAATATTTGTTCTAAAATGTGGAGTCGCTGATTCACTGATGTTCTCTTCTTTTTAAGCAGCTTCTTGTTATAGTCGAGTTTCATTGTTGACAAAAGTGTGTGTTGCTGGGAATTAGTTTGGTCGGCGGCAAGAAACACTAACTGAACATTAGTCCAATGAGGTTCATTTGGTCGTCTGATGTTCTCTGTCATCAGGTTCTTTTTTTCAGAGCTGGAGTGTTTCATCCTGACAGTTTGGACGGTTCACGAGCGTCGTTCACGAGCGTCGTTCACGAGCGTCGTTCACGAGCGTCGTTCACGAGCGTCGTTCACGAGCGTCGTTCACGAGCGTCGTTCACGAGCGTCGTTCACGAGCGTCGTTCACGAGCGTCGTTCACGAGCGTCGTTCACGAGCGTCGTTCACGAGCGTCGTTCACGAGCGTCG